GCACAAACCAAACGAAATAATTTATCAATCTATTAAATCATTCAAAGGGGTTTAATATGTTAACAAATTGGATGGCTGTTGGCTTGGTTCATGGGGTATCTGTTTCATGTATGGTACAATGTCCGCACTTCAGGGACTATCAAGTGTTGGAGAAAATTATGAGAATAGGTGAGCGAAATTTTTAAATTCTCCAAATATTAACAATTTAATTTATAATAAACTCGATTCATTCTGGTAATAGTGAATACGTAAAAAGAGCATGCGACTTTTTGGTTTCCAAACAACGGGAGGATGGTGGATGGGGAGAAGATTACAAGGTATATATGATTGAAAATTGATAATTAATGTCGATTTTAAACTTATTTATTTTCTTGAAATGTTATTAGTCTTCTTCCGGCGTAGGGCAGTATATACAACACTCAAATTCGCAAGTTGTTAATACTGCTTGGGCATTGCTCGGACTAATGTATGCTGAATATCCGTTTAGTGATCCTATTAGCAATGGAATTGAGGTAATCTTATTTTTATTTATGGAATCAAATTAAAAGCTGTTACTCTTTTTAACTTTTAATGTACTTCTTTAAAACTATTGTATTAGCTTATTAAGTCGAGGCAACTTCCAACGGGAGAGTGGAAGAAAGAATCTTTTGAAAGTATGATTGGCAAAAATTGTCCGATAAACCATTCAAATTATAAATTTATTTATTGTATTTGGGCATTAGGAATGTATTCTAATTTATACGAAAGTGATGAAAATTATGGTGTTTGGGAGATAATATAATCCTAATAAGTTATTTAACAAATTCTATGTATATAAAATAACAATAATTAGTGTTATTAAATTCACATTCCATATTGTAACTTATGTATATACATATTTAAGTTATTAAAAAATAATAAATATAATTAACAATTCTAGGAATCATGAAATTATTTTGTAAATACAGCATGCGTCAATTTTTTTTTTTTATCTTTAATAGCAAACACACAAAACTTTATACACGTAGCTCTGGTTATATTTAATATAAAGATGCTGATTTGTTTTGAGGTGCCGATATAACCAGAGTGACGTGTACAAAGCAGAGATCTATAACTATGGCTTTGTGATTTGCTGCGATATATACATGTAAACTTTTTATATTCCTTAGAAACACTGTAAATCGCAAAATCCACAGGTCCCAGATACGAAGTTTTATCTGGTTCCACTGAAAATATGAAACTCATTTTTCAGTAAGGGCAAACACACTTATTAACACATCTTTTAATAAGGGCAAGCACCCTTATTAACACATCTTTTAATAAGGGCAAACACACCCTTTAATATTCTATATCTCAGTGTGCTATATTGTAATGTGATCACATTCGCGAAGGAACATCCATGTTTCCAGGGTTGGGTAATTTACGTATAGTTATTTAAACTGACGTAAATTACGTAACTTACATATTTTAACGCTTAATAATAATCGGCCTCTATGAATTTAGTATTAAGGCTTTGCTTTAATTTTGTTCTCGACCTTTACACTCATTCATTTTCTACTCAGAAAAGTGTACTTATTAACTATATCGATATATTTCATTTAATGCTGGCCAAAATTTAATCTTAATGCCGGCCAAATTTAATCTTAAAGTGACCTGCATTAACATTATGCATTTGTAGCTTTTGCATGATGCCATGTAGGTTACATTGTCAGGTAAGTTATCTCAACCCTGCATGTTCCCTCTCCCCTATGGTCTAGGTTGGCAATGGCTCAATAGTTATGCGAATGGAGCTTAAAAAGCTAGTATCCATTAGCGCTCCATTAGCTCCATTCGCAGCTCCATTGGGCTTCATTGAACACCATTGCCCCAACCCTACCTATAGGTACGTATAAGGTAAGTATGGGCTAAGGGCGTTCATTTTGTGATATCTAATACAATAAGTGATGCGATAATATTAATACATTTTATCGGATTTGAAACTCGGAGATATAATGTTTCATATTTTTAAATCACGTTTAGATATCACAAAATGAGCACCATTAGCCCATACTAGTGTTGATTGCTGCAAATATGAAGTGCGACTTTTTTATAGCGCGACTAGGGTTGCAACCTATTGTCGCAATAGAATGTGACATCGGTAATATAGTATTTATGACTTATCTTGTAACAATTACAGCATAAATAAGCTGTAAAAATTAAGTTGCGCCTTTGCAGCAAGCAACACTAGCCCATACGAAGTTAAAAGAAAAAAAAAACATTAATGTAACTCGTAATCTATTAATCCAAATTAAATAATTTTTATATCATTCGATTTTTCTCATCGAATGGTACCAGAATCGTTTAATTCTGATCACAGGGTCACGAGTTATCTATGTTCGAATGCTACACAACATGGTAATTTGGCGAATTTATAACATCACTCGTATTCAAGGATTGGAATGGAGCTCAATGGTTGTACGAGTGAAGCTCAAAAAACTAGTATCCATTGGCTCCATTGGTTTCATTCGCAGCTCCATTGAACACCATTGCCAACCCTGACTCGATTCAAATCAGACGACTTTTATACCATTCGATTCGTCTCATCAAGGCGAATCCGAATGGTATAAAAATCGCTTAATCCAAATTATTAGGTCACTAGATATTAAGGTCCGAATGTTATTGTATTTTTTAAAAAAGTTGTTATGTAACATTCAAACACCGATATCTCATGATCCAGTGATCGTACAGGCGCTGTAACGTAAAAATCAAAACAATCGAGATTTAAATCAATAAACTACATATTTAAGGTTAGGATTATTGCTCCGCGTGAGAATCTGAGATTCTATAGATTTTAAGAATTTTACCGATTTCAAAGAAATATACATAAATGTAATCGCTCGAAAATATAAATAGGCAATTTAAAATCTCCGAAATTTTCCCTGATCATTATCACAAAAATCATGTGGCCACATCTTTTTGCAAAGCGCTATGAGGCCAAGGAAGGCATAGGTTATACCAAAATTTTGCAAGGAATTTTTTTGTTAGGACGTAGAAGGCGATTTCATAGACAGAATATCGATTTATTGGCAGTTTTTTTTTTTTAAAAAAAAAAAAAAAAAGTGTGATGTTCACGT